TGGATGGAGCTAGAGTGTATTATGCTAAGTAAAATAAGTCAGTCAGAGAAAGACTCATATATGGAATTTAAGAAACAAAACAGATGAACATAGGTGAAAGGAAGGAAAAATAAGATAAAAACAGAGAAAGAGGGGCACCTGGGTAGCTCAGTCGTTTAAGCGTCTGAGTGTTGGTTTTGGCTCAGGTCATGATCTCAGGGTCATGAGATCAAGCCCCAGGATGGACTCTGTGCTCAGCGTGGAGTCTGCTTGGGATTCTCTGTCTCCCTATGCCCTTCCCCTTGCTTTCTAAATAAATAAATAAATAAATAAATAAATAAATAAATAAATAAATATTTTTAGGCAAACTGTAAGAGACTCTTAACTATAGGGAACAAACTGAGAGTTGCTGGAGGGGAGGTGGGTTGGGGGTTGGGGTAAATGGGTGATGGGCATTAAGGAGGGCACTTGTAATGAGCACTGGATGTTGTATCAAGTGATGAATCACTAAATTATTCCTCTGAAACTAATACTACACTATGTTTTAACTAACTTTAATTAAATAAAATATTGAAATAAAAATAAAAATAAATTAAATTATAATCCATTTCAAAATTTTGTTTTCAAATTTTTGTAATAAAAAGAATATTGTTGAAGTTTGGACAAAGACACCTTACCATTCATTTCCTTGTGAAGGGTTTTCTAGTAGCACTCGGATTATGTATAATAAGCAGCTTAATAATTTGAGAGAAAAATTGAATAGACGAATTCTTAGACCTTTAAACAAAAAACAAAAATTTAATTTTTATTTGAACTTATTTCATGAAGGACCAAAAAAAATTGTCAAAAATAACAACTTTAAGTACAGAACTTAAATTGTATTTAGAAACTATAATACCATAATTGTCTAAACTCTTAAATTTTAGGTAGCTGAATTTTAATTAGCTAAATATTTAAACAAAAACTGACATTGACAGATTGCATGCACTGAAAATGGCAATGAATATTATACCCAAGAATAAATCTAGGTTTGAGCATTCAGAAGCCACAAAAATCATTTCCAATCAAAATTGGTTCAAATATTCTTAGAAGTGTAAGCAATTTTTATATCCATGAATTTTGGAATAAATTTTAGCTAGCTAGAAAACCTAGCCACTTACAAGTTCATCAGATAGTTCATAAATCTTTTCCTTTCAGAACACCTTGTGGATTTGATTATAGAGAAATTATAATCATGTATATAATTATATATGTACTCTCAATTAGTAATTATATAAATTACATAATTGTAGAAGAGTCATAATAGCATTTGCTGGAAAATACATGCATACAAACACACTTTTTAGTTCGACCAGTTGAAACTCAAAACCTAAACTTTTGACTTTAGGTTGAATACCAATGAAATCTTTGATATTTGGGGGTATTAAGACTGCTATGTATGTATCTATAAAACTGTGTAGGTCACAGTTATGCAGCCTGTAATACTTGATGATGAAGAAGAGCAATTAACAATAAGCAAAATATGCCTAAATTCTGATTAATAGAAGCCTTACCTTTCCTGTAATTATCAGGTGGTATCTGATTCATGCATTATGAATAAAATTTTCAGAAAGGTCTTCTTATAATTATTATTTAATAAAATCTGGAAATGAAATGTCATTTTTTTTACTCTGCTATATATGAGTGTACTTGAAGTAATATTTCTTAAAAGTAAAAGGTTAATGCTTATTAATTGTGTAATTTTTCCTAGGTTTCCCTATTAAAATGCTAGGTACATTTTATGGGTTAGCTTCTTCATAAAGTCTTTTAAACTGTTAATGAAATTGCCCTGGGTTTATAGAACTGGTCTCCTCAAATGACTATTTAATCAAAGTTGGCTGCTGGTGAAGTATTCAAATAATGCATCTATCTTTTCTGGCCTGGAAAGATAGCATTGTTAGTATTAAAATCAAGAAAACCTATTCAGATGATGATGTGGCCACTTTAGGTAATACTTGTTGGTGGGACTTCCTTGCAAATTCTAAACAACCAGGTTGGAAAGGCATTAGCTATGATTAGCCTTAACTCTGCAGCTAACTTGCCATTAAGAATCTCTAACCAGTGTGCCTTGTGTACTGAAACAGTCCCTACCCTCGGTATTTGGATAAACTTCCACAACTTGGGCTTTTCTCTTTGAACCCTATAGAGACACAACTTAATCTAGACCACCCCAAGAAGATTCCAGGGTCAAAAAGAACAAAAAGTCTACACAAATCCATAATATAGACTTCTCCATTGTTTGCTGACATTTTAAGCAATAATCACATGAAAAATTACATATTGACTCATTATATATGGCTCTTAAAAGAATATGTGGCATTATAGGGAGGCGACAAGTATCACTGACACATCAGCCTTGAATGGTCTTAGGTCAGTGACTATGCCAATTTCATGTCTTCTTGAAGTTGAAATGTTTCCCAAATTTATCTGATGAGAAGGATCAGTGGAGTGTGAAACTCTGAGCTGAGGCCTACACTTCCTGATTCAAAATCTCCAGAGAAGGGTGCTAGTAATCTGTACATTTCAGAAAACCCTTGTTATCAGGCATGATTGGGAAGCATTAAACTCTTCCTCAATAAATCAGACAATTATTCCCGTTTGGTCAGAGCCTTCTCAGTATCCCTCACAGTTAAAATAAGGGGACCCACATTTAAATTATTTTCCTAAATGTCTCGACTAATCCAGACGGTCCTCTCACAAGTCTGCTTATTGATGTGGGATTTGGGGAATTACAGGTATTCAAAAATCCTAACACCACCAAATGTAACATCTATAGCTTTCTAAACTTTTACTGCCTGGCAGAAAAGATTATCATATTTATTCTACATAAAAGATATTTTGCAAAAGGATTGCACGGCTGAATTTTTTTAGGCAAATATGTACAAACATATACACATGAGAATAAAATGAATGACTTACTTGATCTCTGGTTTTTGATAAAAAATAATTTTAGTCTCTCTTTAAATGTGTTTTCATTCATATAGAATTCAACTTGTACCCTGCAAGCAGAAGATAAAAATGTAATTAATCTAAAGATGAATACATTTTAAAATAATTTTATTTAATGCATTATATACTTTGAGTGAATCCCCACTACAGAAAATGAAAATTGAGTAAAAATACTGAATTTTTTGGAGAGAAGCAGTTACTTTCTAATTCTAAACAGAATAAGTTCAAATATCATATATATTTAATTCAATTATCGGTATTACCGGATGTAATGAATGGTATAGATAATTCAAAACAGCAACAATATGTGTCTTTGGAATAATTTTGAACCAGTGTTTTCCCAAGTTTTTTCTCTGTCATTAGAATCAATTGGGTGTTTGAAGAATCCAGTTTGAACACCACCACCTGATATGCTGCATCGGAATCTTAAGGAACCAGCCTGAAAATCTATGTTTAAAAAGCCTTTCCATCCATTTTGAGCCTATTTGGGACACCACATTATGGGACATTTTACCTCTTTATTTATTTAAGTTTGTATTAAAATATACATGGATCAACAAAGGAGTAGTAACAACATGTAGAATGTTAAAGTCAACATAGCTAGGTTATAAACCAGACAAAATATTAAGGAACTGAATATTATATATTTAATCTACAATACAATAATACCAACAGTCTAAAAAATAGTAGCATGCTAATAAATACATTTGCTTTCTCCCTAAATTCCAGCAAACTTCTCTCATATGATGACATACTTAATATTTTCAAAATACTAGGTGAAAAGAAATATTATGTTCATGATGATTTGTTAATAATCATTTGAAATGTTATTTTTTATTTGAAATTTTCTTAATTAAATGGTCTCAAATACACTTATTTTATGTTTCCAAAACAGCTAAGAAAGCACTTTAATGTTTACACAGACAACAGACTTAATTTCATTTTTCCTAATATCACAAAATTTTCACAATGTGATCTTTATAAACTAGAAACTTTATTTTGTAACTCTTAGTCCCCTTCACCTATTTTGCACCTCCCAAACCCTATCCCCTCTGGCAATCACCATTTTGTTATCCATATCTCTGAGTTTTGTTCCATTTTGTTTGTTCATTTGTTTTGCTTTTTAGATTACAAATATAAGTGGAATTCTAGTTTTAAAATAAGTCATAGGATGTAATGTACAGCAAAGTGACTATAGTCAATAATATTGTATTGCAAATTTGAAAGTTGATAAGAAAATAAATCCTAGAAGTTTTCATTACAAGAAAAGAAATTCTTTGTAAGTCTGTATGGTGATAAATGGAAAGTAGATTTATTGTGGTGATCATTTCACAATGTATACCAATGTCAAATCATTATGCTTACACCTGAAACTAATATAATGTATGTCAATTATACTTCAATTAAAAAATTGCAATATCCTCTAGCAAAACACTTACGTATGCGTGCCTACACATACATAAACATACATGCTACAAAAGTGCATGCACACACATAGAGACACAGAACTCCAGTAGTATCTTAGAAATCCATCATTGAGTCTGTTTTCCTTGTTTTTTGGCTGAAAAGGCAGTTCATTTTAAATAAAGTAACTCTAATATTGATATCAAACTAAATTATTTCAAATCTGCTATGGATACAAAAGCAATTTTAAAAGGACATATGGCTATTATGCAAGTAATTCAGCAAAAGGCCATGCAGATTTGCTCTAGAGTCATCAAATTTATAAGACTATTAGTCCATTCTTACAATAATATCTGAAGTTCAGTCCTGGGTTTAACTAAACAACAGAGGTTTAACTAAAATTAGGTCATTTAAAGCCTTATGCAAAATAATGAAGAATCTGGAAAGCATCTCATATGAGGACAAGTTTAAGGAACTGGAAATGTTTAGCCTAAATATGAAGAGTTAGCAGTAACAGAATAGCTGTCTTTAAATATTGCAGTGGCCATCATTATTAAAATGAGATGACTCATAATATGATGCTCTATTGTATAAGATTAATCATAGAGAAATAGAATTAGGAATGAGATTACCCAATTTTGAAATGGCCATCATTGTGAAGTGAAGAGCTCTCCAATATATATAAATGTACCAAAGACTGGATAACACCTTGAAATGCTGTGACTATTTGTTTTTTTCCTGAGGTAAAGACAATTTTGCATGAGATAAATTCTCTCATTAAATGACTTCTAGATTCCCTCTTCATTATAATATTATGTGAAGTAAAACTATTAATTAATCTAGTGATCTCTGAGACAATATGATCACCAGGGAACATAAGACATTAAAGCATAAGTTTATACAAAGGGTATTTTTTAAAGCTAAAGCTAACATACAAAGCAAAATACTTTGGGATCCATGTCTTTTCTCGGGTACAGAAAAATGACATTTAAGTTAACTACTCATGATATTGAGCAGAGCTTTCTTTTATTTTTTAATAACAACTTTTCTGAGAATCAAAGCCAGTTAGTGTTAGTATATTCTTAGAGGACCTTCTTAGCACCATACAGTTCTCTAATACTCAGGGACTTAGTAGAGTTTAGTGTTTATCCTTCCTAATTTTTTCATGATTTTAATTTATTTTAATATTCTCTTCATATTTCTTTTTCCAGATTTAAATGTGCTTTCCCTTTTTTCCTTCTCTCCTTCCTTCCTTCCTTCCTTCCTTCCTTCTTCCTTCCTTCCTTCTTTCCTTCCTTCCTTCCTTCCTTCCTTCCTTTTGTTCTTCTGAACTCTCTCCTCCATCTAACTTTATCTGAATTTACCTCCATCCAAATAGGTCAACTTAGTGCACTCTTTCTGGACCTTCCCCAGAACCCCACAGTTTTAGTCACATTTATCCCAGTGCAATAGTGGAATTATAATTGTATTTAATAAAAAAATAAAATGGAATTACAATTACTAGGTGGTATCTTCTCCTATTGACATGTTTTCATTGTTTAGTAATATTAGCTTTCTATTGGTCAATGTTTTATTGTTTGATTTGCATAGACCCTGCATATTCTTTGTGACATTTATTTCTGGGTATTTTATAATTTTGGTTGTTATTTTTAAAGTGTTTTGGTCTAACCTTTAACTTTTGGTTTTAGTATTGTAAATAGCTACCATGTTGAATTCCTTCATATGCAGTAATACTTTTTTTTCCAGGTTTATTGCTTGGGTTTTCTAGACAGACAATCATGTCATCTAAAAATCTCCAATATTTTTATTTACATTTAATTGTTGTTATGTTGACTAGCACTTATTGAAGAAAAAATATCAACTGTGGTATGCATTCTTAGAAAGCCTCTTGTGCTTTAGCAATAATTATATTGTCAACCCTGGAATTGCAATAAACATTTATATCTTACTAAAACTCCTATCAGGAGTGGACAGATATTGATTTCTTTCAAAAACCTATCTTGATTCTATCAAATTGATGGTACCTTTTGGGGATTTTTTTTTTTTACATTGGTTTGGTGAATTGTTTTAATAGTTTTTCTATAATGCAATTATTTTTTTCAATTCTGGACTAGTTTGGTAGTCAGAATATAACAATTTTGATTAATACAAAGATGTTTTGTGTAACCATTGTCAATTTGCCTTAATATTGACTTTAATTTGTTACCTTTTTTTTTCTTTTCTTTTCCTTCTGTTGCTCTGGTTACTTGAATTTAGTATAAGAATCATGCAGGATCTTGTTAAAAGCTAATTTCCTTGTTTCACTCTTAAAATTCTTCTTTACTAAGATAGGCCTTACCATTTTGACCACACAAAAAATAATTCTGACCCAGGCTATCCACACACTGTTCTGTCAGAAACACTATTTCACTTTTTTCAAGTGCTAATAATGCCTTGGGCTCTGTAGGATGCCAAACCTTTGCAGATATTCTCTTTGGAACTTGTAGTAGATCGCTACCAAAGGAAGATTTTTCTCCTATTTCTATTTGGTGCTGTCCCTTCCTACCTCCCTCTGAGTCTGCAATATTGGTCACGGAGTCCATGCATGAGTTTTTATGACTATACTCATGTCAAACAAGGCAATACCTGCCTGGGCATTCTGGCCTCAGCAGACAGGTTCAGTGGATACACGTTAGTCTCTCTATGTATTTATTGGTGGGTGTTTTTCTTTGGAAAATCTACATCTGGTTATTAAGTTCATGGACATAGCTCCATTGCAATTCCCCCCATATCTTAAGAACTTTGCACCTGCCATCATTTTTGTGCTTTTAAATTGTTGTATCCTTCTAACTCTATGTTTGGTGCTCTGATTCCAAAGATTAAGGGAAAAAAAGAAAATCTCTTTGTGTTCTACTGCCAGGTTTCTCTCACTCTATTCCGACCACACTACTAAGCCTAAAATGGGGCTTATACCTATGAGAATTACACATTTCCAAATATACATTATTGTAAATGTACCCTTATTTTTCTAAAGTCATTGCTATGTGTTGAACTATGTCCCTTAAAAAGATATGTTGAAGTCCTAACCCTAGTACCTCATAATGTGACCTTATTTGGGAATGAGTCATTGCAGACATAATTAGTTAAATTAAAATGAGATCATACTGGAGTAGGATGGGTCTCTAATCCAATACCCCCGGTGTCTTTATTAGAGGAAAATTTGGACATTGACAAAGAAGAAAGATGGCCATGTAAAGACAGAGACAAAGACTGGCCACAATCCCAGGAACACCTAGGGCTACAAGCTGAAAAGGCAAGTGAGGATTCTCTCCTAGAGACTTAGGAGAGAGCATAGCACAACCAACAACTTGCTTTCAAACTTCTATAATCCAGAGCTTGGAATTAATAAACCTCTGTTGTTTTAAGGTACATCATAAGGTTCTTTGTTATGGAAATCCTTCAAAACTAATACATTAATATTCCATGACGATGACAGTAGCATTTCATAGTTATATGAAGTAAGTCCTTCAGAATGTAAGCTCCATGAGGGCCAGAACTGTATTTTGTTTTGTTCATGATTATATCTTTAGCATGTCAAATATTACTTGGGACCCACTAGGCATTAACTGTGAGTGACTGAAGGCCTGAACAATCAGTGAGATCGTAT